ACCTGCCTCTCCCTCAGAAAGGCCTCAGCAGAGGAAACCCACAGTGGTTTCCCCTTGTGTCACGACAGCTGTGACAGAGCAAAGCTGGCTTTGGGAAGGGCACACAGCCACAGTAACATGGGAGATACCCCGAGGCTTGGGGCTGCCATTCACTGGCTTTCCTGCTGCTGGAAAAATAACAAAACTGTGTCTGTGGGTGAGTGTGGGGGGGATTTGCCCCACCCTGTTCATCCTTCAGAGCAGGGTTGCCAGGCCCAGAGTGGCCCAGCCTGGAGTTTCTCCCTCTCCTCACCCCCACTTTGCATAGCCATCCTTGGAGCCACGGAAGAAAATTAGGCCCAGAGTTGGCCACTTGTAAACCAAGCTGACAGGAAATTGCTGGCTTTGTGCTGAAGAAGTCATTACCTTAAGCTTTATTGCCGTGTGCAGAGTTTACTTGTGACAAAGTAAATGCACAGAGATGTCTGTAAGTAGGGCTGGGGTATTGCTGCGTTGCCAGCTCCTGGTAAGCCATCCATCAGCAGGGCAGGGTGGCAGGAGCCATGGAGAGTGCACACACACAGAGTCTCACACACACACCTGCTCGGAGCTCTGCGCCCCACTGCCAGCATCTTCCCTGCCTGGGCAATGCTCCCTCCTCCTCTGGGCTCCTGAGGATGCTTTGCAGCCCTGCTGTGCCAAGGGAGATGTGATTCCACCTGGGAACAGAGGCTGCTGGGCTGGAGGAGCCACCTGAAAGGGCTCGACTACATGAGCTGTGATCTTAGGTCCCTCTGCTGCTTGGCTGGGACAGCAGTGCTGCAGGGCTGGTGGGAGAGCCTGCTTTGGGCTTTTGCTTCTGTCCATTAACGTTATGGCTGCGAGAGGGAGACAGCTTTGTTTCAGTAACGCCAGCGGGAATCTCATTTAAAATAAATGAGGCAGCGAGATGCACCACTCGTGCTGCTTGAACTGCAGGAGAAGCTGTGCTGGGGAGGAAACAGATGCATTGAAAATAAGTTGGTGTCTGTGTGATTGGTGTGTGTCTAAATGATCTTGGTGGTGCCTTGAAGGAGCATCTCCCCTCCCGCTGCTGCTCCCCTGTCACTGGTGAGGAGTTGCTGGCAAGCAGGCAGCTCTGGCTCTGGAGTGGCTGAGCTCTCCTCCAGCTCACAGAGCTCTGGCAAGTGGGAAATGGGGGTTTTTCTGGCTTATCTGTGTTTCCTCAGCCTGCCTTACTTGTCTGAGCACTTCAGGATGTCTGGAACTTTTTATGTGCTTCTTCCCTTGGAGTCAGTCCCCTGCTTCTGATGCTGCTCTGATTTTTGCCAAAATTGTGGCAGCGCAGTGCAAGCACGCATTTCTGGTCTTTTCTGGCTTTTGCCACTTGTGGGAGTGATAAAGTCAGACAGGGAATAAAATCTCATCACTTGGGGGTCACCAGAGGGGCAGCCTGGAGGAATTTTCCAGGCATTGGCTGTTGTTGCAGTACTGCAAGGAAGGCAGAGCCCTGTTTGTCTGTGTTTACAGCCACAGCTTCTTCTGGGGCAGCAGCGTCCGGGGGCTTCTGCTGGTGCTGCAGCTTGGGGTGGTGTGGGAAGGGAAAGGGAGGGTTGGCAGGTGGCAACAGAAATCAGGTGATGCTGCAGATTTTCTCCCTCTCAGTCCTCACTCTCACAGCCTGTGCCCCCACAGTGCCCAGAAGCTGTGAGGTTTTGTTTGGGTGGATAATCCCCTGTTTGCCCATACTGAAATCCTGATGCTGACCCGATGTGGGGCTGCTCCCAGCCCTTGGCTGGGAGGGGAACACACAGAGCTGTGCATTCTGCTGCCCCCCAGCCCTGGCCTGGGAGTGCCCATGCTGTGCTTGGTGCTGAGGAAGGCACTCATTCCCCACTCTTCAGCTGCCCTTCTGCTGCAGGGCAGTCCCTTGGGCACACGGAGGGAAGGGTCCCAGCTGCCCTGCTGGAGCAGCACCCAGCCCTAACTCGGGGTTGATTCCCTGCATGCTGGGCTCTGGGAGCAGGGCTGCTCTTCCAGCCAGGCACCTGGCCCTGGCTGGGGAGTGAGCCATGGAGAACTTGGCCCAGAGTGTGCCAAGAACACTCTTGTGCCCAGAGTGTGCCCGCTGACACAGAGGTTTTCATCCACAGCCACGGCAACCCCGCATCCCGATTAGCCTGGCTCCCGTGGTGCCAACCCCAGAGCTGTGTCCCCCTGCATCCCTCTCTCTGCACGACTCCCTGGCCCCTGCCTGAGTCTGGGGACGTGGTGCCAGCAGCCTCCCACCCACTCACCCCTTATCAGAGGGAAGCAAGAGGGTTCTCTGGAGCCTCTGCTGAGCTGAGGCATCTCCTCCAGTCACTGCTGGCAAAGCCCACAGGGAGCTTGGAGGGACCCACAGCAGAGCTGAACCTCGATGGCACTGGCAACCAGGTGACAGCCCCCAAGGTGCTCAGCTCAGCAGGGTGGGTAGGAAAGGCAGCAGCTCCTGAGCCCCCACGCAGGGCAGGCACATCTGGCTGCTGCGCCCTGCTCCCTGCCCAGGCTGGCAGCAGCGCTGCTGCCCTGGGAAATGCTGCCCTGGGAGTGCTGCCCTGGGGGATGTGATGGCAGGAGCTGCTGGGGAAACTTCCTATCACACTCCTTGAATCAGAAAATGCTTACCTTTCCCTTCCAAAACTCAGCTCTGTGGGAATAAGGATTCTGACTTTACACATTTGAAACTGCAGTTGTAACAAACATTAAAACAACTGCTTTTTCAAATTTGAGGTGACTGTGTGCTGAAACTTCAACTGATTCTTACCAAAACTGCTTGGAGAATAACTCTGGTGCTCTGTGGCTGCTGGATGAAACTAGCTTGCTCTAGGGTGGTGTGTCTGGGTTGCTGAGGAGGTCAGGAAAACTGTTTCCTGATGCCAAAAGAGTTGGAGTCTGAGTGATCTGCAAAGATGCCTTCCCTTGAGGAATAGCTAGCGCTGATTCTCAAGGCTGAGCTCACGCTGCAGCCCTTTGTTCAGTTGAGGTTACTCATAAAATCTCTCTCCTTTACGTGGATGTTTATTTTTGGGAACCTTTGAGGAACTGAATTGTCTCAGAGACTGTTATCTCTCTGTCAAATTTGGCTGAAATTGCTCAATAAGTTCAAAGTTGTTGAGGGAGACACAGCCAGTGTGAATGTATGAGCCACAGGAAATCAGACTGACAGGCTGAAATGAGAAACACTTTGAAACTGTCAAAACAAAAAGTCCTCCCAGTGGTCTGGCCTGACTTGTCCAGATTATTGGTTCCTAAAGCATCACAAGATCCTGCCAGCTACCTCCAACCCTGAGGAGCTTCTGAGAGCCCCACTTTGCAAAGCTCAGCACTAACTCTGCTGACAGCAGAAAGGACCCTGGGGATTAGCAAGAGATTTGCCACCAGCTCTTCTTGTGGCCTCTCAAGTCTGGGAGAGTGGAAGCCCATGGCGAGATCTGTACCATTACCAACCACCCCAAGAGGTGATGGCACACCAGACTCATTTGATTCGTGTTTCCTTTTGCCAAATGACTTTGAAAAGGGATCTGATACCAGTTAATTAGATGTAGGGGCAGATTAAAAAAATAGTTGCAATAATGAATCCGCTTTTACTGGTCCCTGCTGCTGCTCCAGGAGTGCTATCACAGCCATTCACAGGATGGTTAATCTTTCAGCAAGTGCTTTGAGCATTTTGTGCAGGGAGCTAAGCACCATCAAAAAGAATGAATGACCCTGTTTCTCTTCCCTATCGTGGCTATCAACCAGAGCTGTCTTTGGCACAGCTTGTAGGTTGATTTCTGGTTGAGCATTAGAGACAGAATTCATCTGTCCAAACGTAGACATCTAATTGTGAATGTCTACATCTGAGTTACTTGTCTAGACTTGTTTATAGGAAAGAAATGGGCACCCCAAGGACATGAGTCATTGTATGCTAGAGTAAATGTCTAAAATAGGTCAGATGAATCATTCTGTAAATGGGCCCTTTTCTCTGCTGTGACTATAAAGGGAGCCCAGAGTGACTGTGAGTGGGACAGGGATGCCTCTGAAGTACAGTGAGATGCATCCCAGCTCAGATACATTTCTGGGTATGCATAGTCAGCTGCTCTTATGTTTGCACATCGTCCTGACATCCTCTGTCCTCTTCTTCTTGCTCTTCCCTTTATAAATTTACCTGAGGCTGAGATGCCATTTTATTCTTGTAGCTCCTGCTGCAGGATGACTCCCAGGTACCTGCTTTTCCTTTCTCAGATCATCAGACCAGAGTCACCTTTGTTCCAAACCTCTGTCTGGGCCTGGAGCTCTGCTTTATCCTCTCATGGATCCCTCCTTTTCCACTGCACTGAAACACAGCTGGGGATCTGCTTTCCCTGTGGTTGGGTACATTCCCTGTTTAGACCATCCACAATCTCAGGTGCCCTTGTGTTCTCCAGGCCAGCACAACCTGCTCTGATTTACTCAAAATTTCCTTAAACTTCCAGTAAGCTGACAGAGTCCCTTCCTGGGCTTTGATTATTGCCTTTTTCCATCTGTGCTGTATCTGCTCTGGGTGGGCACTGCCCCCTGAGAGGGACTCACAGCAGCTCAGTGCCACCCTGCTGAGATGAATTGCCAGAACTGCTGGTGTCGATGCACAGTCTCTGCTGGGGAGTCAGGCTATCAGCCTCAAGCTCCTTCACAGATTTATTCTCATTTTATTTCTGTTTGCTGAACAAAAGAAATGTATAATACTTACAAATCCTTCCAGATAGGCTTGGAGCCTAGTTCTAGATGTAGCATTATTTTAACAAAACCAGTGCTGTGCTGATAAATGGGATAGTGGGAGGAGGGAAAGAAACTATTTATAACACATAGTGCAGGAGATGAGGGAGGGAAGGAAACTGAAGAGTGCAGATAAGATTTTTGCTGCAGGTGTTTTCTCAAGTTTTGGCTTGAAGACAAAGGGAAACCCACAGACCATCCAGATAAGCCCATTAGGTTAGCTGAGCACTGTTTCATTACTCAGTAGTGTTATCTAGGCCCTCTGGCCTCAACAAAATCCCAGCTTTATTCTTTCCTCAAATACTATTTTATTAAAAAATCCTCTCTGTGTGAGAGGACTTTTAAAAACGCGTATTTTAAAAAATATATTAGAACATGGGAACTTTCAAATGCTGGCAAGCTGCACCCTTGTGTGAATGTGAATAGGACACGATGTGCCTGCTGTCTCTTGCCTCAGTGTTGCTGAGACTTTCCTTTCCTTTCCTCAGCTGGGATTGAGCCCTGGATCCACAGGTTTGGCTTGGAGCAGGTGAGATTCGACATCCAGAGCTGATGGGGGCTGAGGGATGTGGGAGCAGATCAGGGGTGCTATGGATGTTTGTGAGGAGAGTTGTTGGCACCTGAGCAATGAGGAGGTTGTGAGGCAGCAAGCACCGCTCTGGGAAGCAGCTGGGACTGGGAGCTGTGGGCTGAGGGGCACCAGCCCTTCTGAGTGGGCTGGCTGAGTGTTTCAGAGGGGAACCCAGCTGATCTGCCTGGCAGGGAAGTTAAATTGTGTCCCAAAATACACATCCTCCTGAGAACCAGGCACACAGGAGCACTTGTTGGAGATGAAAGGTGATGGAACATGTAAACTGAAACCACAGTGAGCCTCACTCCGCTCTGAACTGTTTCCCAGTAGGAAATTCCTGGCTGCAGCAGCCTTTCTATTTACTCTGCAGAGCGTGGGCCATTTGAAGGTGGCTCTGTGGCAGGAGGTGCTCTGGGAGGCTGCTCCCTTCTCAGCACTCACTGCTAGCAGTAAACAGAGCAGGGATGACTCGGAGGAGCTTACTCTTCCACCAGAGCATCAAGATCAGACCACGTCAGTAATGAGCGAATGTCCTCGGCGTGCCTCTGACGGTGTTCAGTGCCTGATGAGTGGCCTGGTCCTGTCTGCTTCCCAGTGGGCTGACACCTGGGACACCCAGGGCCTGGAAAGGGCTGTTCTGACACTCTGACCAGACAGGCTGACATTGCCTGCAGTGCTGCCCAGTGTAAGGTCATCCCTTCCACTGGATAATGATGCCTGTGAGGACAGAATGTCTCTGCTCCTACACCATTCCACACCTCTTTGTCTAAGTCAGCTCTTCTCATACCTGACAGCCCCTCTGTGTTTTCTTCTAATACCCAGAGTTAACCTCACAACTAAAGCTCAGCAAATCTCTTTAAATCCACTTGTTCCTGGAAGCTGTCTCCCTGCAATGATACCTGTGTGTGCCATTGTCCTGCAAATACCGAGTTAGAGATTTTCCCTGACGCTAAGAGATGTCATTACTAAAACCAAAGCAGATGGTAGAATGGGACTGAGGTGATATTATGGAGATTTTCCCAAGGTGTCATGTATTTTCTGCAATCATGAAGCACTCAAATGGCTCACATGAGGAGGCTACAGACCCTCCATCTTGGGAAGGTTTCTAAAAAATGTGAACATTTGTCAGGCATGACTTTGTTACCCAGACTTTCCCTGGGGAAGGACATGAACTGTGTGGTTTCCTAAGGTCTGCTCCCAAGAAACACAACCAGGAAACTTGCCAGATGCTGAAAGTGTTTGTAAGGTTTAGCAATGGAGAGGAAGTGTTCAAAGAATAAAACATATCTCAGATTCAGAGCTGCTTTCTCAGCAGTGCTGCTGAGTTTGATTAGAACAAATACTTCCACATTTGGCATTTGAAATGCTGGAGTAACAAATGATACTTACTTCTCAGGGCAGGAGAAAATCAGAGTGCAGAAGAAATCAGCCTCCTTGGGACAGAGCATGTGGGAGTTTGCTTTGTATTGTCTGGGGCCAAGTACAAACAATGCTTGAAATTTGCTCCCAGCATTTAGGTATTTCTTAAAACTAAAAACGATATTAGGTGGGGAGCAGTGGCTAGGCTCAATCGGATCCTAGGGTAATTTGCATTAAATGGTCCCCAATTCCTTCTTTAATACTGTTCTCCTGCCTAGCCTGTGTGTGCTGCTCAATTCCTCTGCTGGAGGAGCGAGCAGCACATGGCAGAGGAAGACGAGCCAGCCAATAAAGTGATGTGAAAGAGAGGAATGTTACAAACAATCCCTGTTTTGGCTGATAAAGGCATCCTCAGGAAGCTTGCAAGTTGTAGGAGTCTGTATTTTACTGAGCTGGGGAGAGGAATGGAAAAAAAATGTATGCATAAAAAAAGGCATTTCCCCATTTGATTCAATTTGCATAATATTTTAGTACTCATCCTGCTTTTGCACAATGTGAAGCAGAGCTCCAGGTCTGGATCTGAACAGCACCCAGGTCTGCTGTTGCTTTCAGAGGGATGAAGGACTTGCAGTCTCCTCTCACTGTGGTCTCCAGCTGCAGAAAGCTGACCTGGAGTGAAGTGGGGGAAGAAGAGGCTGCTGCAGTTGGCATAACCTTATTTTTCACATGGTTGTATTTGCCCCAAACAGTTGCCATATTATCAGAAGGATGTCCTTTCTGAACTTCTGATGGTATTTAACAGGCACAGAGCGGCACGGTCGAAGTCTCATCTGGAGCACCACGTGCTGCCAGGCCAAGAAGCCGCCAGTGGAGCTCTCCATCCAGCCCAGCAGTGCCAGGCAGGTCCCTCACTGGGTGCCAAGCCCTTGGAGAGCAGGCTGCTGGGTCAGGATGAGTGGTTTTCCCCCTCTCCAAACGCTGTGAGCGCCACGGCGCGCCGAGGCCAGAGCGCAGCGCTAGACGTTAAACGCTCCATTTGGACGCGTGCCAGGATGAATCCAAAACCATTAAATCTCCAGCCGTGCTGGTTCCTCTCACAGCAACAGAAAACATTTTTCTCTGCTCATTGGTGTGATGAGACAGCAGGCTCTGAGCTGTGCTCATCTCAGATCTGTCACTGCAGTGTCTCTCTGGCTGGGCCATCGCTGGTGGAGCTCCGGCTGCCACTCGGGGAAGATGCACAGCAGTCTCCAGTGGCCACGTGGCTCCCCTCGGCCTCCCTCGTCACCCCAGCGAGACAAAGGCGATTGGAAGGCAGAGGAGAAAATAGCAAACTGTTGAGCACGTCGTAAATCCAAAGACATGGCAGCAACAGGGCTAAGCTCGTTCATGCAGGAAATATTGTAAATGAAACAGCGGTGTTCGGATGCAGCATCTGCTGAGAAGAAAATCTCTTTCGGTAGCTTGCACCTGCTAGATACAAAGAAATGAAAGGGACAGGATTTCTTAATTTTGCAGGAATCTATTTTTTTCCTCAAAAGACAGTGTATTTATAACTCTAGTAAAACAGCAAAATTGGTGTATAAAAAACATCCTACAAGAAGAAGAAATTGATTTCTGGATCTGATCAGACCAAAGCTCTTAATCTTTGCTCCTCTTTTATAGAATTGCTGCCTGGACACCTCCTCTGTGTGTCCAGGACCTAATGCTTTTTCCATCCATACTCAATGGAAAACTGTCAGAAAAGGGAAAGAATCTGAATTTATTCTCTCTTTCCTTGATTAAAAAAGAAAAAAAAAAAAGGAGAAAGATAAAGATATTGAGATCAATTGTTCTCTTCTTTCCAGTGCTTCTCAGGTGACAGGAGAAAGTGAAGACTGTTGTAATCCCTTAACCAGGCATTTCACAACAGCAGTCCTCAGACAGGACTCAGGTAGCTCCAGAGGTGCAGAGATATGAGCTGCTGATCTTGTGACAAATCAGTCCCTTTGCTTCTTGATGTGAACATGTAGCAGAGGGAATCTTACTTCATCAATAACTCAAAGGCCTTGAGGCTTTAAGTAGCAGCAGAAACAAGTTCCAAGAAAGGCCCTGGAAGCACCTACAGAATTGCCTGTGGTGGCACCCTGACTCAGACAAAGCTTTGGTTCCCAAAGAAGATTGAGAGGCTTTAAGTTGAAAGAAAAAAATCCAAAGAAGCAATTGGATCAGGTTTTGTTAGAATAAAACCAGGGATGTAAAAGCTTGTGAGTGGAGCAAACACAAAGCATCTGTTTGCAGTCCCCTGCCCACAGGTGGGTCTTTGCTCCCAGAGCTGGCTGTTCCTCAATGACCACCTGAGCTGCAACAGACAGCTGGAAAAGGGGTACCACGAGGGCACACTTAGGAGAAAGCTGTCTGGAAGCTTGGCAGGAAACCTCCTCATTTGATGGCATGTGTTCAGGAGATAGCAGCACCAAAAGAAGGGAAATGAGCATCCAGGTTTGACTGCTGTGGCTGGAGGTGAGTCAGCCGGGTACAGTGGTCGTGTTTGCCTCAGCCTCTGTCCCCTTGCCTCTCTCCTGGCACCAAGGTCTCTCAGATGTCTCCAGCAGTGCCTCTGTGTTTCAGATACCTATTTGTTAATAAGGCTAGAAGCTTTGAAAGCTTTGAAAGGTCCTGTCTGACTTAATCCCTATTGATCACAGAGCCTTGATGTGAAGGAATTTTAAATTTCCAGCTGCTGACTGTTTAACAACTTCTGACTTCAAAAGCTCTAGGAACCTTCTCCTTTTAAATACACTCTCCACTTAAGGAAAATATAGTCAGCCCCTCATTAATGTGTACTTCTCCCATAATTATACAAGTGTTTGTAGTGCAAACTCCGCTCAGTGCCATGTGCACATTCCTCATCCAGGAAATCAATAGGCAATAAGCAGCATCCATTTCTGATCTTTATGGAAGTCATTTGCTGCAAGGGCAACTTTTACTCAGTTAGACAGTGTAGATGTAAAATAGATTATCTTTAAAAACACCCAGGTCTCCTCAGCTGGCAGCCCCTTGTCCCCCAGTGAAGCAGGGCATATTTCCCAGTGCCTGCACTGCAGCTGGGAGAGCATCACTGCTCCAAGGCACTGGCACCTCCTCCCTCCCAGCTGGAACTGCCTGGGGGCTGGTCCCTAGGCAAGCTGAGAGCTGCCAGTGGAGCCTCTCAAGCACAGAGGGTGACAGTCTGAGTTACAGCCCTGAGTCAGGGAGCATGAAGGAACCTGGAAATGATTATGAAGCATACAGGGGAGCCTAAGCAGTGGAGAGATTGCAGAAACCATGTTAATCCCTGGGGAGCTCAAACCATATAATTTACACAGGTCTATGCCTGAACTTACCTTTACAGTCATGCTCTTGAAAAAGAGTTTACTTAAAAGGGAGGGGATGCATAAATCTCTGGGGCTGAAAGAGCAGCTGAGCAGAGCCAGGTTCATAGGCAGAGATTTGCATGCCTTCAAATTCACACAGCCTTCCTGTGTGTTGCATGGCTGGGATGGAGGCAGTGAGGGGCTGGAAAATCTGTCAGCTCTGTCCTGTGCTGGTCTGAGCTCTGTGTGACTGCAGGGACCACA